GAAGAGCATCACAAAATTAGTAATATTCCGAAGTTTCGTTGCGAAATGTTGTAAAATGCGGATAATATAGCCTTGCGAAGTTTGCCGTTTTTCAGTCATTTTGTATTACGAATGGGAAATTGATAATCAGTTTGATCATATGTTTATCAATTTCCCATTTTAATATTATTTTTTGAATATTATTTGACGGCATCTCAAACAATTTTCGATTCGGATGATCCAAGGACATGGAAATCTGTGTGTCTGAAATGCAATTCAGCACGCATACTTAGGGTCTCCACTTCATGCTGTAGTTAGTGCATGTATTCTCCCACCTATCGGGACCACAGTAATTGGCTTCACACGCTGTTGTGGGTACCCGGCCACGAAGTATTCATTGACTAGTTGTTTTCTGTCTTGTTTAGTTCTTAAGTGTGTATGTATGTATATATATATATATATATATATATATATATATATATATATATATATATATATATATATATATATATATATATATATATATATATATATATATATATACATATATATATATATATATATATATATACAGGGTGTATAAAAAAAAACTGAACAGATTTAAAATTGCTCTCAATTTCGCAAAACAGCTATTTGTATCCGGTTTTTTATATATATAGCCTCTTTGGGTACTTATAATGTAGAATTATGAGAAAAATTTCTCGAACTCAAATTTTGTGAACCGGGGGGGGGGGTGTCTTTTCCAACAAACTAAAAATGGCTCGCGCACAAAATTTAAAAGCTGCAATCATATTTTGAGTTAACAGATGGAAAATTTGTCGGGATTTTAATTACTGTACAATATTTCAGACAATTTGGTTTAGTTTAAGCTCCTTAACTATTCACGCAAAGTTACAATTTTCCCGAAAAATCAGCTATTTGCATGCTTAATTAATGCATTTGCCTAATTTGCATATGTCAGCAATATGCAAATTAGGTAAATGCATTAATTAAGCATGCGAAAGGCTGACTTTTTAGAACAAAATGAATAGTTAAAGGGGCTTAAA